ACCTCATTAGCTGCTTTCCCTTATAGCTTTCTCTCACAACAATTTTTAACAATAAATGATTTTCTCATAGTTTACCAAACGGGTTGGGCTTTCCAAAATTTTTTAAAAAATCACTTATCACCCCAAAATAAACAATTTCAAACGGACACTTAGTATGTCCATAAAATTTTAGGAATTTATAGTATATGCCTATCATAAATGGAATTATATGAAAAAACTTTCCTACAATTCAGCGTTTCTTTATATATATATATATATATGTGTGTGTGTGTGTGTATGAGTTTCCTTATGTATAAGGTATTTCTTTATATATATAAGGTATTTCTTTATATATATATAATGTGTTTCCTTGTGTGTGTATGTGTTTCCTTATATATAAGGTATTTCTTTATATTTTTTTTTAAAGCTTCCTATATATATAGAATTTATGTATATAAGTTATTCTCTCATTCGGATGTCATCACATTATTATAATGCTGATGCCATTGTAAATTGGAAGGAAAGTAGGGAGGGGTAGTAGAAAATACACAGTGTCCCCATGATAATAACGTCTGGATGTCCATATAAGAGAATTTCAGTATATATATACAAGCACCCACACACACACATACATACCTATCTTCCAGGTAATAGTTTTTTTCTTGGGTTTTCCAAAGCAATTTTTATGGAGTTTTTATCTCAAACATACTCAAGTTGAGTACTTGTTGTGGACGTGTGAGTTTCTTTTTCCTTTTTCTGTAACCTTTTATATGGGTACTTTTTTACTTTAATTATGAGTTTAAAGATCCATACCAAATGTATTATATGAGTTCAATTACCTAGACTTGAGGCAATTTATGGGTATAATTATGCACACAAGAGTTGGCTTTTGGGCTAGAGGTAACTTATGGATTTAATTACCTAGAGTAGAGGTAATTTATTAGCTGATCCAATATGTACCCAGCTAATGCTTATTCTATTAATAACGGCACTCATATAATTATTGCCGCCGCTTGTCTAAATAGAACATTTACAACTAAAACAACAAAAGATATTGTGTTAACTTGCCGTATACGTCTGCGCCCTCACCAAATCCACCTACATTTTTCACCATTCTTCTGAAAAAAAAACCCACGAATATTTGTTCCATCAAAGTGGTATTGCTATACCTTTACTTTTCTTTTTGGTTGATCTTCTGCCTTTCGCTTTAAAATTTTATTGAATTAAAACTAATTTCTACTCCTTATACTCTAACAGAAATGAATGTGAATATACTGTGTACCCTTTGGTCGAACTCCCAAAAAGAACTATAATTTGAAGGACAAAGTTGTGTGGTCAAAATGTGCTTGTGTATGTAGTGCGCAACAAGTGCTATTATATGTGTGGGGATGGCAAAAAATTTCGTGCATGTCGTGCACGGATTTAGATGACTTAGAGCAGAAGAAATTAAAGCGGGGTCACAAGAGAGTGAGTTGGAAATCTTCATAAGATTTCAAGATGTTTAGGATTAATGAAGAAGAGAAAAACTTTGCCGGGCCAATTTTGTTGCAGGGTTTTGTTCAGTTTGTGCAGTTTGTTCAGCTCTATATATTGGTTGATTGCGTTGTGTGCTTCTCTAGCTTGCTTTTCGGTGCAAGCAGTTTACTGGGAAAACTTGATCCCCATTGGTTAAAAACTAAAATAGAATAAAAGATGTGTAGGATACGTACATACATGAAGGGTGATCGAAATTGAATGCAATGGAATGAGCACATTGTCCTAACCTAATCTACATCTGCCATATTGCATTGACTTTATAAAAACTTTCATCTTATATTAAAGAAGTGAGATATGAGTTGATCGAAATTGAATGCAATTGAATGCAATGGAATGAGCACACTACCTTGACCTAATCTACATCTACCATATTGCATTGAGTTTATGAAAACTTTGAGAAGTGAGTTGGCGCTTCTAGAATTATTACTTTTTTTATAATAAAATTTAAGTAATTTTGAGTTTGCCATCCAGGTGGTGAGCATACACCAGATTAAGAATAAAAACTTATATGAAATGTTGATAGCACTGTTTTGTTATTCTCGATTAATCGCGCTGCTAAATGAAAAAGTTATCACGTATGACATAACGTGATTAACCAATAATAACAAAATAGTGTTATTCCCTTTGCACACAAGTGTTTCTCTAGATTAAGGGGGTGAGCAGTGGTCAAGTCAATTTAGTAGTGCACAAACCATTCGTCGTTGAATTGTCAAAGTACAAGAAGTTCAATTCATTGGGCTGGACAGGAGGCAGCAGAGAAGAAGCACATCTTGCTTTCTTTTTGGGGCTAACAACTTTGAAAAAAGATTGACAACTTTGCATTAATTGATAACCTAGAAAGTTGGAGAATTTTGAATTGTATTTAGACTCCAAGTCCAATTAGACTTCTTGGGATAACCGAAAAAAAAGAAAAAGAAAGAGAAGTTCCAACTAGACTTTTACTAACTATAGCTACGACTAATTTGCCACTGAATGGATACTTTTCATAAGAAGAAAAAAAGTACTTCATTGTATCATGTATATGCTTGCTATACATGTATTTTAATCACAATTAGGTTCCTAATTATACGTAGCCCATCATGCTTTGATCTACTGATACACGCAACGTGGCTGAAACTGGCACGTCGGATTCCACCGTCACACGATTGCTTGACACGTTTCGTAGGACATGCTTAGGAAATGACTTACTTGCATGCAATGTGTATTGCACATTTTGTATGAGATCAGGGAAGAGGAGAAGTTTTGAGAAATCAACGGTCCATCTAGTCCCATTGCTCCAAACTGAACCCTTGGCAACCGTTGATTTAAGAACCATGCCCTGTACTACATTTCGGTCAACCACGACTTGATCAATGGTAGTAAAATACTGTCCGTTAGATTGATCTAGTTGGACGATTGGGACACCCGTATAATCACCTGAAAACATATTGTCAACAATACTAATGCCACATGCCACACCCTTCAGCGATTTAATCAAAATAAAGGCATTGCCAAGGAAGAATGACCCCGCTATATGGAGCTGGACCGGGTCCTCCGCCACAATACCCGTGAAATCAAAGTAGGAGTTCAGTATTCGAGTCTGGGTCAACCCGGGAGCCCGAACATATATTCCGGTGCCACCCCATGTAGTGGCCTTGTTATAGCAATGTACCCCAGTGAGCACATTGGCTTGCCCTTGTACCATTACACCAATTGATGCCGAAAAAATTACCACATCGGTGATTGCGTTATCGTTTCCTTGGATGTTAATTCCAATACCAGAAAAGTTCCTTTCGCGGTGATCACCGCCAATATTGATGTGTTGGCCGATAAAGGAGTTTCTAACGTAGGTTTCATGGCCACCTTGGATTAGTATACCACTGGTGGTGAAATGTGAAATGTAACAATTGTCAATGGTACTTCTTAGTGAATTTATAACTGCAATGCCACCACCTCTGAAATTTGAGTTTATCATGAGATCCTTGAGTGTAATGTCTTCGTACACAAAAGAATTCGAGGATGACCACAACTCGATCAAATGGCGATCGGTCGGGAAATCATCAGATGCATGAAGGGATCCACCATGAATCTGTAACACCATAACAATATCCCATGGGACTATGGACAAAATAAAATTTTAAAAATATAAACATGAAATATGAAATCAACTTTTTTTATTTATTATTATGACATGAGGGAAATCGAATTATACATCTTTTAGCATTAATTAGGAAGATAATTATTACTAAACTAAGAGCTAGTTGGTTGCAATCAATTACATTAAATAAAATTTCTTAAGTATATACCGTTATTATAGATATGAGCTTAACCAAGTTAGCTAGAACGGATATGCTCCTCACTCTGCACCTGAGTACGAATCCCCCTCTCCGTAATTTAAATTAATTTAAAGTAGATTATCGGTTATCGGTTGTATAAAAAAAAATTAATAATAAGTCTGATACTAAACTTAAAATGTTAAGGACACTCCATCCCATTAAAACACACACAGTGAGTTCATCTATATGCACTACTAATTGAGATAATATGTTAGAAGGTGTACCATAAAGTTTCGACCAAAAATAAAATAAAATAGTACCATAAAGTTTCCACCACCGGCGTCTGGTAAGCGCAATGGACGGCTGATCTTGTACGTGCCTCCATCAAGGTGAACTTCAGTGCCTCCAAGGTCAGCAACACCCGTAATCAGGTGACCATCAAGAGGAGATGCAAAGGCAACAGAGATAGCTTCCTGAAGTGCCCCTGTGCTGTCCAATCTTCCAGTGGGGTCAGCACCATACTCAGTCACGTGATGAACACGTGAGCCCGAGGACACCTATGAATCACATATGAACAACATCATATATATCTGATCATTTCGGAAAATTAATCAAAATGAACCAAACCCAATTTTTATTTTCTATTTAAAGAAGGAATAACAAACTATGGACTTCGCACCTTATTTTGGATAGTATGTGACGCCTTCATCATCAAAGCCATGCGCTTCATTTGGTCGTGGTAAGTACCAGCTGCCCCTGCGTATGAGCTTTCTCCATGATTAACCATTACATTTAGATACATAAACCCCATTAAGAGCTTCACTAACATAGCATTTGGTGGTAGCATGGCTTTCTGTTTAGAGAGAGAGAGAGAGAGAGAGAGAGAGAGAGAAATGTATGTAGACTCTCCATCTCAGCCAACATCTTATATATACTGGCTAACATACATACTAATCTTTGAAAGATACTTTCCTGGCGGAAGCCAAAAAAATCCTAGACTCTGAGGTCATCCTAGGCCTACATGTAGTTCCGCTGCAAATTATAATTATTTTGAATTCGTTTACTTTCTTTGAAAATATAATAGGAGGATTAAATTTGTGTACGTAACACGTAATTAGAGATGACCGAATTAATGAATTAATTATGACCTTATTATATCAACACTATTTGAGATTTGAATTTATAGAGTGCCCCAACTGTTAGGCAATAATTAATCAATGAAAGAGAAAATTAAACTTGAAGTTTGACTAATGATGATGAGCGCGATGACTCCTGGGGCATGAAATATCGGTGTGTACGCTCCTGGGGCAAGAAATATCGGTGCAGCAGCGGGGAAGTTAGGCCTGAGTTGCTGCATATATCTTCAACTATTGCTTTCATTCTTTCTTGGTCATTTGGGTTTTCAACTTCGAACTTGACCGCAACAAAAGCCACCAGCGTTTTCAACCTTGATAGGCCAGGCCAGCTCTGTTTTCTCTCCATCGTTTTAGTCGTTTTCTTCACTTCTCTTTGGTATTACGTTACTACTGAATTTGAAACTATAGAATGTGTGGTGCATAGGTTCCATGATTTTTTTTCTTCGGAGAGAAATTTGATGTCATTAGGGTTGACGAAAAGTCGTATATATCACACTGTGCATGTTATGAAAGTCGGTGGAAGAAGTTGATGGGTGTGAAGAGCAAAAAACGTAGGAGAGTGAATAGTGGTGAAATAACTAAGTTAACCTTCAATTTTAATTTTATTATTAAATGGACTTGATTGATAAAAGAACAATTGATATTTGATACTTTTTAGTTATTGACAAAAAGAGTTCTCTTGAATAACCTTATATATGTCAAAAAAAACAAAAAAAGAATAATAGTAAGCTGACATGTTGCAATTGTTTTTCAAAGTTTTTGAGAGATTTTTACAAATAAACAGGAATTGGTTACGCAGTTTCGATAGCGATTTACTTAATTTAGGAAAGTGGCAGACTTGAGAATCTAGCTATTAGAACACCATTATTTTTTTTGGAACCAAAACAAAACCATTATTCTTGTTAGTACTTGTACTACTAATTTTTCTGATTTCTAGCTAGCAATTAACCCTTGCATTTGATATAGTCCTAAGAATTTAAAACCCATCATAAACCATAAAACAAAAAAATCTAAAACCCACCAATAGGTTGATTAGTTTCCTGTTTTAAGTCATGAGAGATATCTGGGAGAAATAAAACATTATACAAGCTCAAGGAAAGCATGATCAATCATCACAATCTATAATTGGCAATACAACGTTGCCCACAATATATAGCAAAACAACATTTCCAATTGAAAGGCAGGCCTTACATCTCTCCTGTCTAAAACTCAACCTCTATCTAACACACAAAAACAACCCTTTTGCGCTGTCTTGTTGTGTGCACACTAATTAGACCTTGTCAATTTCATGGACTATGGTTTCCTAATTTCTTCCAATATCATCCCCACCCCTCTTCCTCTTCTCTGGTTTTGGCCCCTTCACGCCCACCCTTTTGCATGTCCTCTAATTCCCATTTGCCACACCAATACCAAAATCGAAAGCAAAGACACAGAGAGAGAGAGAGGGAGAGAGAGAGAGGTTTTAGTTCATTCAAATTGATAGAAATCAGTTTAGTTTTCTGATAAGTAAGCTGGGGACCCTTTTTGGTTTTCACAACAACGCATGGTAATGGGCGCGCATATGGCTATGGCTAGGCTTATGCGCGCACCAAACCCAACCCCAACATTTTTTGTTGCTCTATTCATTGCCGTGCTTTCATGCATGGTCATGCTACCTTTTGGTTCACCAATGGCTACAACCACTCAAGCCCTTATGAGGTTCAAGAAAACGTTACAATTGGGAAACGAAAGTGCCACTCTTAGCAGTTGGGATCCTAACAAAGACCCGTGTAACGGTAACAAGGTGAATTGGGTTGGTGTGCTTTGCTTCAATGGGAATGTGAGGGGTTTGCAGCTTGAAAACTTGGGTTTGCAGGGAAAGCTTGATTTGGAGCCTCTTACTCAATTGCCTTATTTGAAGACCCTAAGCTTCATGAACAATAGTTTGGCTGGTCCATTGCCTGAGCTTAAGAACCTAAAGTTGAGGTCTCTGTATTTGTCTTATAATCATTTCTCAGGTGAGATTCCTGATGATGCATTTGAGGGCATGATTTTTTTGAGGAAATTGTATTTGGGGAACAATCAGTTTACAGGCAAAATCCCTTCTTCCCTTACCACCTCGCCTAAGATTTTTGATGTGGGGCTTGAGGGGAACAAATTTAGTGGCCAAATACCAGATTTTAGACAGAAGAGTCTGAAGAGGTTGAATCTAGCTAACAATGAATTGGAGGGTCCAGTTCCAGAAGGCCTAAGCAAGCTGGATCCAAGTAGTTTTTCAGGTAAGTAATTACAAATGTACATTCATGCATGAGATTTCTTCCCATATATGTAGACTGATTTATTTTGAATTCAAAGAAAAATATGGATGACTATGCAATGCATGTCTTACAATGCGAGTAATCTGGTATTAGGATAATTTTTCATCGAAAGCATCACTGTTTATTTATTTAATTTCCTGTGAACAAAATGTAGGCAATGGAAAACTATGTGGTCCACCTCTAGCGGGAAAATGCAGCGACCCTCCTCCTCCTGCTTCTCCTCCTCCTTCAGCTCCGCCATCTGAATGTTCTGGGGACTCTTGCGGCACCTCTAAGAAGCCATCGTCTGGTCTAAAAATAGCCCTGATTGTGGTGAGTATATTGCTCCTACTGGCCTTCATTGCTGGGATTTTGATTTTTCTCAACAAGAAAAGGCAACAATCAGAATTAGACGTGGCCGAATCATTGGACGACTCGGCCTCCAAGTACACGGCAGCTGGTGGGAGCAGCCAAATGGATGTTAAGTCGGTAGAAGCTACGCCACATCCAAAGAAGGGTGACCTTGGAAAGTTGTCATTTGTGAGGGATGATAGGCAGAAGTTTGATTTGCATGACCTGCTTAGAGCCTCGGCTGAGATCTTGGGGAGCGGGACGTTTGGGGCTTCCTACAAGGCTCTGATCATGACTGATGCTGTGGTGGTCAAGAGGTATAAGCAGATGAACAATGTGGGAAGAGAGGAGTTCCATGAGCACATGAGAAGGCTTGGGAGATTGACACATCCAAACTTGTTGCCTCTGGTGGCCTATTATTATAGAAGGGAAGAGAAGCTCTTGGTTTCTGACTTTGTGGAGAATGGTAGCTTGGCCTCTCATCTTCATGGTGAGTTTTTTGGCTTCTTTTTTGTCACAATTAATAAAAGTTAGATTACAGTTATATGCACGCTTCAAACATAACCACGTGAGAGATGTGATCAGCAATGCAGTCATGAAATACGGTACAAATACTTTTATTCATCTATATTGAAATAACATCATCCATGGTGGAGTTGCTTTTGTACAGGCAATCACAATTCAGATCAGCCTGTGCTGGACTGGCCAATCCGTTTGAGAGTAATCAAAGGCATAGCCAGGGGATTGACCTACCTCTACAGCGCACTCCCTAGCTTGGTTGTACCCCATGGCCATCTGAAATCCTCCAATGTACTTCTAGATGAAAACTTTGAGCCCCTCTTGAATGACTATGCCCTACTTCCAGTGATCAACATGGAGCAAGCCCAACACCTGATGATGGCCTACAAGTCACCCGAATATGCCCAGCACCGGCGCATCACAAAGAAGACCGATGTCTGGTGCTTGGGGATCATAATCTTGGAGGTGTTGACAGGCAAGTTCCCAGAGAACTATCTCAAGCAGAGCTTCGACAGCAGAGCGGATTTGGCCAGCTGGGTTAATGGAATGATCAAAGAGAAGAGGACCAGCGAGGTGTTTGATGTGGAAATGGGGGGTGTGGGGAGCAGCAAAGGAGAGCTGCTGAAGCTGTTGAAGATTGGTGTGAAATGTTGTGAGGAGGATGTGGAGAGAAGGCTGGATTTGAATGAAGTGGTTGAGAAGATTGATGAGCTGAATGAGGGAGAAAGTGATGGAGATTATCGATCAAGTGTTTCGAGTGAAGGAGATGATTATACCTCTCAAGTTGTGTGATTGCAGAAGAGAAATGATGAGGACTTTTGGTTCCAAGTATTGCTGGCTGGTTGGGACTTAGAGAAACCATGTTGTAAATTAGAAGAATATTATTTATATATGTGCAGGGGCTACTAGGTTTCAGCTAGCTTCATTCCCATGAGTTGAAGCATGTGGCAGGGAGAGATTTGAAATTTAAAGCAATGAAGAAATTAATTTGTTTTTGTTTTTGTGTGTCATTGTTTTTTTCTTTTGCCCCATTTCTTTTGGATTAGGAACTGGGGTTGTATTTGTAGGTGTTGGGGATGATGGCTCTTGTATCATCTTGGTGTAATGGGAATTAATTAGTTGATAAAACTAGTCATCAGATATGCTCTCTCTCTCTCTCTCTCTCTCTCTCTCTCTCTCTCTCTCTCTCTCTCTCTCTCTCTCTCTCTCAATTCCTTTTGTTTTGTTTTGTTCTTTTTTTGTCAAACTCTCTCTAAATTCGGGCACTGCGTTTCTGTGTGTTCCTATTTGAAACCAATGACCTGTGTTAGACTTGGAATCAACTCAAAACGTATTCATATTGTCCATTTTTCTTAATAATTTTACACTTCTAAGACTTGATTGTTACCTACATAAATAAAATTGCCAAACTTAAATGAAGGTATATCAAAGTGAAAGTTTGGTCAAACTACAGAGATCAAGAGTGTAATTTGGTAGCAAAGGACTTGTAGTAGCTCAAGTGGTTAAGAGTATTTTCCCCGCATCTTAAGTCCTAAATTCGATTTCTCTTCTTTCAAAGAAATGGAAAAATGTTTAACTGAATGAGTTGAAAATGATGTGTACTAGTATGTGCTTAAATCGTGGCTGAACTTACGATCCACCACCCATTTTCCACTCCACTCAATGAGTCAATTTGACCTGAGCTAAAGTTCATGATTATTCTTGGCCGGTAAATATCCATTTACAAAACCATACGGATGAATAGAGAGAACTAATCATGAAGTTATTAGTGGTTATATTTTTTATTTAAAAAAATCTTAAATTCAATTCCTCCTAGATTTGGCAATAAAAAAAAAGAAGTTAAATAATTCTAACTCTTTGTTTTTTTTTCTGCCAATTTATGCTCGACTCTTTATTCGACCCAAAATACGTGAGTCATTTCACATGCAAAAAGGGTTCAAATTGTTGAGTTTTGAAAACTTGGATGAAAAAAGTTGATAGGTCATTCTGCCCTAAAAATAGTGTGTTGTGGAAAAGGAGAGGGGGGAATCTCATTGTCTATGCTTAGATCTTCTACTTTTGGCAGCCGACTATCTTATTGTGAGGCTTCTATATACTTGGTCTTTTTCTTTTTGATCTGAATTGTGAGGCTTCTATTTTAAAAAGCCAAAATAGAGAAAGAGAAACCGCCAGGTTTTGAACCAAAAAAGAAGAAAAAAATGTAAAAGTTCTGTGCCTGTGGTGGCTCATAAATTCTTGTAAATAGCAAATTCTAAGGTGGTCAAGTTTGATAAGGGACAAGAGGTTTGAGGCATCAAGATTTCTGGGCCACTTTGTACAGAACATGGAAGAGTTTCTACTTGATTAGTTTGTGTCCTAGCAATATTCTGTTTTTCATAGTTAGAGCTTTTGAAGAAAATGTGGCAAGCAAAAGGAGGAAATGGGACAAAGAAAGGAGCAGGAGGAGGAGGAGCAGCAGGAAATGGTTTGGTGGCAGTTGCCATAGACAATCAGAAAGGGAGCCAAAATGCACTGAGATGGGCTGCTGAGAATGTTATCACCAGGGGTCAAACTGTAATTCTACTACATGTTGTTCAGAAGTCATCTTCAACATCTTCATGTAATCTCTCTCTCTCTCTCTCTCTCTCTCTCCTCTCTCTCTCTCTCTCTCTCTCTCTCTCTCTCTCTCTCTCTTATGTAACCAGAAGAGTTACTTGCTATTAAGATAATCTAAAAGTTCAGAACCATTATAGTATAAAAAGTTATATTATATAATATATATGCCTGGAATTCACATAGCAACTTCAACATATCAGATGCATTCTGATTTCAATTTGTCCTATCCAAGAATACATGCACAGGTATATTATATATGCCTGGAATTCACAAAGCAAGTTCAACATATCAGATACATCTGTGATTTCACAATTTATATTGTGTCTCTTCTCACCTCTGGGGCTAATTCAATTTTCAATGCAAGACCAAGTTACAACTTCTTTTTTTGGTACAGTGGCTGGAAACAACGCCCTTATTTGTGATGTAAGCAATCCATCTCAATCGCCACGCAAACAGCAGCTTGAGAAGATGACCAAGGATCTGTTTCTTACCTTCCATTGCTATTGTACGCGTAAGGATGTAGGTTTCGAAGCTCTACCTTCATAAATTTTGGTCCATGAGCATCCTGCATAAAAAGGCTTAATTTACAATTCACCATTTGGAGCACATCCCTAAAATTTCTTATGCATAATCATATCGATAATCACAACAGCTTTATCAATCGGTTTTATTTATGTTCCTCTTTGATTGTTTGCTCATGTAAATTTATTTTCTCAGATAAATTGCCTTGATATCGTACTTGAAGACGCGGATATAGCAAAAGCAGTAACAGAGTATGTTTCTTATGCTGCAATTGAGAATCTGGTTCTGGGAGCTCCAGCAAAGCATGGATTTATCAGGTAATGGCCTCATTCAATAAATCTGGTTTTGAGATTCTGTGTTTTCTTGGACACATTTTGGATAGAAATATATGTTTATACTTGTAAAGACTCGTTTAGTTTGCTAATACTCAATGATTTTCTCACGCAGATTCAAGACATCAAGTATTCCAAGTAGTGTATCGAAAGGGGCACCTGATTTCTGCACTGTATATGTCATCTCCAAAGGGAAGATCTCCTCGGTGCGAAATGCTTCTCGTGCAGCACCATACAGTTCTCCACTAGTAAACCAAATAGATTCATTAAATAAGCAAAGTTGTAAACCACCTGAAACACCTAGATACAACAATATGTATTTAAAAGGTTTGTATCTCTCAGTTATTATGCTTTCTTGAAAACTGATTTTGGATGAACAGGACTCTAAATGCAATATTTTTATCCTCAAAATCTAGCAGCTAGACCGTCGTTCAAGCCTCGTAACTTGCAAGATGAAGCAAACAGGCAAGTTAAACAGACAATGCCTTAGTGTTATGCTATTATGTATGAAAATAGATGCTGTGTAATTTACCATAGAAACTGATACCACCATCCTGAATTGACACAGATTGGGATTAACAAGAGGAGGTTTTAGTAATGGGAGGATTAGTGGAGGATTCTCAGAATCGGAAAGCGACATATCATTCATAAGCTCAGAAAGGGCAAGCACTGACCGTGCTTCTTCTGTGACGTATGATTTTATGGATACAAACCGAGGACGGCTATCTACTAGTTCAGATCAGAGCTTCGGGTCAATGCGTCAAGGACCTAAGTTCGCAGACCTCAGTTCTCTGCATGATTTTTCATCGGTTTCACATGAAAGCAACCTAACATCGTCTTCATGGTCATCACAGAACCTGGTAAGGACAGGATATACTCAGCTCAACCTATATCAAGTATCCTTCCTTGCACATTATCTATCTGGATGTTTTTTTTCACTGCATTTCTAAACTTGTGCAGGACGAAGTCGAATCTGAGATGAGGAGACTAAAGCTAGAGCTGAAGCAAACAATGGACATGTACAGTACAGCATGTAGAGAAGCACTGTCAGCTAAACAGAAGGTGATAAGGAGTCTACATTTACCTTCTGCATTTTCAAGATTCCATTTAACTTTGTGTCCCCCACAGGAAATGGAGCTGCACAATTGGAGGGTTGTAGAGGAGCAAAAACTAGAGGAGGCACGACTGGGTCAAGAAGCTGCAATAGCAGTTGCAGAGAAAGAAAGAGTTAGGTGCAGGGCAGCCATGGAAGCAGCTGATGCTGCTAAAAGAATTGCACAGTTGGAATCACAGAAACGAGCAAATACAGAAATAAAGGCCCTCAGAGAAGCAGAGGACATGAGGAAACTATTAGATAATCTAGCCCAAACCGATGACAAATACAGAAGATATGCTATTGAGGAGATTGAGCAAGCAACAGAACACTTTGCCCCGTCTCGAAAAATTGGGGAAGGAGGTTATGGTCCTGTCTTTAAGTGCTATCTTGATCACACACCAGTTGCAGTAAAGGTCTTGCGTCCGGATGCTGCTCAAGGAAGGACACAGTTTCAGAAAGAGGTGAGTACCGAGATCCTTGCTTAGAAAATATGATCTACTAAATTTTCTTTGCCTTGGTTGCATGCTTAAAAAAATTGCAATCAAAACTTGGCTTGTTCTATTTCTACAGGTGAAGAAAAAAGGAAAACAATAAGGCCAAGCAAAAGTGTTCTTTTTGCTAATTTGTATGGTAAACTAACAAAGAACTCTGTTTTAAAACCTGATACCTTGAGCGATCAACAAACAGTACGAAATTGATCAAGACAGTTAAAAATCTAAAATAGTTAGAAACTTACTATATTTAGGGAAAATGTAACAAAAAATGGCAAGATTCTAGAACCGAAAGGGGTAAGAACTCAAAATCACTCGAATAAGATTCTTAACAAAACTAAAGGTTAAGATTTCAGAAACAAACCCAAATAAACTCCAGTAGGATTCAAGAACCAGAAAAGGTAAGATCTCACAATGCCTGCTGCATCAATGTCTCTAAATCCAAGTGGTACTTGGTACCTGACAGTATTTCACATTCAATTCCATATACATTTCATGCAATGCAATAGAAGCTCCATATACAAATTCTTTTCCAACATGCTTTATTCGCTTACTTCTTGTTCTAAATTGCTTCCACCAAACATATAACAGTAAAAGATATGATATGGATAATTTTTTATCTAATCTCTTCTGTCATGATCCAAATGCAGATTGACATACTTAGCTGCATTCGACATCCCAACATGGTACTACTTCTAGGAGCCTGCCCAGAGTATGGCGTTTTAGTCTATGAATATATGGCCAATGGAAGCTTAGAGGACTGTCTCATAAAGAGAGGGAACAATCCAGCTCTTTCTTGGCAACTCAGGTTCCGAATCGCTGCTGAGATTGCCACAGGCCTCCTCTTTCTTCATCAGACCAAGCCAGAACCCTTAGTGCACCGTGACCTCAAGCCGGGCAACATTTTGCTAGATCACAACTATGTGAGCAAGATTAGTGATGTTGGATTGGCCAGACTTGTCCCAGCTGTTGCTGAAAATGTGACACAGTGCCTCATGACAGCAACAGCTGGAACATTCTGCTATATTGATCCTGAGTATCAACAGACAGGAATGCTTGGTGTAAAATCTGATGTCTACTCCTTAGGCATTATTCTTCTCCAATTGCTAACAGGTAGATCGCCGATGGGCTTGGCCCACCATGTCGACAAGGCCATTGAAAAGGACACATTTGAAAAGATGCTGGACCCAGCTGTCCCTGACTGGCCAGTGGAAGAAGCCTTAAGCCTTGCAAAGCTAGCAATCCAATGTGCAGAACTCAGACGAAAAGACAGGCCAGATCTTGGCACTGTGGTACTGCCATCACTAAATAAATGGAGAGAACTTGCTGAAGATAGGATGAACCACAAGTTATTAGACGGCAATAATGGTCTTTCCCCACATCACAGTCATGTTCCCGATCAACAGGTAAGTCGAAAAACTTAGAAGCATTTGGTGCTGACTATGAGATCATTGCATAAGTTCCTAGAAAATCAAATAGAAATTCTCCACCTTCTCTAAGATGCTTGGTATTAAAAATTTAGTTAAGACTAAAACAAATGGAAAATCAAGTAGGCTCGTTCAAGTGCCAAAAAAACCAACATGAATCACATTATTTTAGCTCATATATTAGGACTTCCATGTGATCAATGATCATCAACCTTAACTAAAAGAACTAGAAAAAAGCACATGTATACGTGGTTCTACCGGTTTTCGATTAATGAGGAAGGTATTTGACATTGTAGAGTATCTTTTGCAGGAAGTGATGAGTGATCCACAGCTCAATAATTCAGGAACCTCAAAGAGCCAATCAAGCACATCTTCACAGACAGAAAATCAAGCAGAAGCAGGTATAGAGTGACAGAAACAATTTTGACAAGAAAACATGAAGAACTAAATTTAACGGTTTTCGATTTACTTTGTTTCACAGGGCCAACTGAAACTGAATAATGCTAGAAGGTCAGTGTGAGTTCCATGATGCAACATTGCTCCAGTGACCTCATTAGGTTAATTGGCACTTTGTTTTCTCATTTTTTTTTTAATTGAAATTTTGGGTCCCAGAATGTGGGCTTCAGTGAGAAAGATACATAGGCATCAGAGACATCAAATTCAAAGTCTCAGACAGACTGAAATTTTGCTGTCATGTAAATATGATTGGCATTCAAGTGTACATGTAAATATACATATTATCAACAACAATGGGTATAACAAAGTTGTAAATTTCAAACATGCGTCTAAAAAAGCAAAAAATAAAAAATAAAAAATAAAAAATAAAAATCAACAATGACAGACAAGTACCTTTTTTAAAACCCAATTTCTGAACATCATCAAATTATGGATAGTCATTTCCACAAGAAAAACACCACTTCGGTTCCTTCATCCTTATTTTTGAACAACCCGCCAATGTTCATCTTTCCCTTGATGGGCTGCATAAATCAGGCACCATTTCAATTTTGAGGGCTTTTAATTGCAACAAAAAATTGAGGGCTTGTTATATAAAAAAAAATATTCCCATTTTGCTGAAAATTTCCAAATTAACCCATATCTTCACATCGTCCAACATTTGTTCTTTAATTTTTACAACCAGGCTACAAAGACCAAAACCTAAGGAACAAACATTCTAGGCCTATAATGATGTGGCCCAATGGACAGTCATGGGGGTCCCCAAGTACAAAAAGGCTCAACTTTCAGAACCCATTCCATGAAATAAAAGATGGGCTTGAAGTTACCTTCCCCTGTTTTTGGAAGCAAAACTCTTGAAATTTTTGCTTACAATAATAAACCTCTTGTTGAATTAAAGTAAGTAGTAGAATATTCTAATTAACTCGGTTCTTTTAAAAACAATGGTATTATTTCATTTTCAGATATCCTCAACTGTAAAGAAAGTAAGAAACGTGGCACCTTCAAAGTAGGGACGTGTCGTGTTCATAACAAACGGTGGCTGCAAGTGTGAAGTTTCTAGTGGATTAATTTTCAATTTCACTTTTTACCTTCCTGTTTCTACCAAATTAAGGAACATTCCTAGATTTTCTGATCTTTCTCATATCAGCAAGAAGATAACTAGTTCTAGCGTTATCAGAAAGTGTTTGTTGTTGCACAAGGAAGGAACAATGGGACAAGGCGATGAAGTCAAGACCAGAGCTGATGCCCAAGTTGAAATTCAGGTTCCTTTGTTTGTGTTTGAATGCATGACATGCCAAAACTGAGTTTTCTTTTCTTAAATCACATGACATGACATGAAAGTTGAAGTTAAATGTTGATTCTTCTGATTCAAATATTATGTTGGTTTGTTTTGTTGTGACAAATTAAATGGCAGGAGAGAGGGGAAATATTCTTCTTCTACAGGCCAAAAGTTAACAAGGAGGAAGCTCACAGCCCAGATGATGTTCAACGTTTGTACATAGTTTTAAGGCCAGAGTCAGGTGAGAGGCCAATTGAGGAGAAGCAAGACCCTGATTCAGGAAAAGAAGGTGCAAAGAAGAAGAGGCCAAATTCTGGTGAAAAAGGCTCTGGTGGTGGTCAAAGTAGTGAAGGTGGGCATGGAAGGCAGGAAGTGAACATTGAGAAGCAACCATTGCTGAGGTTCATAGTGATGGGAAGGAAAAGCCTTCCTGACCCAAGCAAGAAAGGCAGACCCTATTGGGGTTTTGTTGAGATGGTCACCACAAATATAGATGATGTGAAAACTGCTCTTCAAGGAGGTACAAAATTTCCCATTTTAACTTTTTACCATACTAATCCCATTTTAATTTTGCATAGATTACTATTTCTATATGATAAGATCCTCATCTTGGTTTTCAACTTGTTGGGTTTAGTGTTTTTGATTTTGTTTAGTGATCAGGATTTTAATTAAAAGAGATCATCATCACTACCATGTGGTGATACTAATTCACTCAAATTAAACATGTGGTGGCGATCCCACAGTATATATAACATGTGTGAATTGTTAACATAGTGTAGGTATTACAGTCACACCGAAAAGTTACTCGTAATTTTGGATATAAGCACAATATCAGCATGAGAAGCATAAGTAGAAATCAGAACTCATTGTATATACATGGTGTATGTCAGAGGAGTATGACACTAAAACCGAAGGGCACAGACACACTTCTGCAGCAAGGGCATTAGGAGAAGGCATATACCGCATTGTGAGGCATAAGGAGGGGAAGAAGAAACCCCACACTCATTTGATTTACAAGCTTGAGTTCCCACCAGAAGATGAGAACAATGAGCCTCAAGAGTCACTTAACATTAAACATGAAGGCTCATTTCATATTCAAATAAAGAACCCGGATCAACATGGCAGCAGCAGTACTTCTCAGTTCAGAGGGCTACAGAACAACCGCAGGGCTATGTTTCCTGCCCACCTGCAAGGCCAGTTTGGGAATTTAAGGTACTGCCCAGCTGATCCACCTGATTTCTTGAACTATGAAGGATGTGAGTTCTTGCTCATATCGGCTTCGGATGATATAGAAGAGGAATTAGGGCTGGAGCTGCAGACAGAGGGGGAAGCAGTTGAATCTTGTTCTGATTTGATCAAAACTTTTGGGGAGACTGCATCTACCAGTTCTCTTCTGAGAGGCACTTGGGTTTGAAAAAGAGAGAGTTCGAAAAAGAAAATGGTACCATGCATAGTTGTAGTTTGTTGTGTGTAACTTTTGAAGCACTTTGTGGGCACATGGATGGCCTGTAGTTTGTAGATTTGTGCAGTTTGTGCGACCAACTCTATTGCTGCAGATAGAGTAGTGACCATGTGTTTTATGAATCAGTGGTTCAAGTATTTTTGTGAAAGCAAGCCAAGAGTTGGTAAGTGCAAAGAAAATTGAAACAGGGTTGGTTCTGTAGCTCAAAGCAATAGCTGTTAAAAGTGTTTCAATATACTGGAAGAACAAATTTCATCAGAAAAAAACACAAAAACTAGTATGTCCTCATACAATAAACAGTTTTCGTAGAGAGGGTAGCTTACTCAAATCTTAACAATCCAAATAGATTATTTGTTTTTGGTGTAATTATCCAGAGGTTTATCTTTCCATTTTTCCCAACAAAATTACACAAATACGAACCACTCAAAAGCAGAGCTCCTCCTTAGATCAAAACTTGTGAGTTTTGACAAAAGATAAGATACAAAATTAAACCAAACTGAAAATAAAACCTTGGTGACAACAATTAACAGCACTTTTTCAATCATAAATTCATAACTTGTTTCTTTTATAAATTTTTTATTTTTATTTTTATTTTTTGGAAATATCCTTTTATTAAATATTAGATTTTGTCTCATTGCAGCAGAAGTCCCGCCAAAGGGATATCTAACTTACTTACCAAAATTCGACCCAAAAAGAAAAAAACTCGCCCAAAAAAGTGAGCTTTAGCTCAATCCAAAACAAAAAGATGAGAGCTTGCTCTGTTGAGTTTCAGGGTTTTAGGGTTTAAGAAGACTCTGTTTGTTTCTATGTATGGATGTGATTCCTCTAACCATGTCCTCCTCCTCCAAATTCCTCCAAATCCCCACAACCCTCACCTTAACTTTCAAACTTTGCTCATCCCCGAACAAACCCACAAACCCATCTCTCCTCCCCAACCCATCAAACCCCACTCTCACTCTCAGACTCCACCTGACCCACAAACCCAAAAATCCAATTTTCCACACGCCCTTCAAAACCCATCACCATCTTCACCATCCCCTGTTTTCCACACCTCCCAACGGCCCTGCACCTCCGCCAGACCACCAATCCGAGCAATTCAAAGCTGCCCAAGACGCTCTTTTGGAGTTTCTTCAAGAATTTGGGGTTTCTGAGACAGAAGCCGCCTTTGTTTCGTCGAATTCGCCGAGGTATTTGCGGATGTTGGTCGATGGGGTTTTGGAGTTGGATGAGCTTGGGCTGTGGAGAGAGCGGGAGAGAAAGGAGGGGAGAGAATTGGTTGGGTTTAAAGAAAAGGTGAGGTATTTAGCCAAGGAAAAAGGTGACGATGGAAAAGTTGCGTTTTTGGAGAGTGTGGTTGGGTTGAGTCTGTCTTCGGCTATGAATCTTGCCAGGCATTTATCAGCAGAGACACTTCCGAGACTCGTTGAGAAGGTAAGGGCATCGCAATTCATAAAATAATAACAATAATTTGTTGAAGTTTTGGTCGACAATTTGTGAGAAAATTGTTTTAATGGAAGTGAGTGTAATTTGTTTATGTTATGGTAAACAAGTAATTGGTACTTAGGATTGCTTTTTCAACTTTTTTGATTTCAGTTCTTGTTTCACGAACAAGTCATTGAATTTATTGGTTTCTTTGATGTGAACAAGGTTGTGAATCTTGTGATTATGGTGAACTAGTTATTGGTATTTGGGACAATTTGTGAGAAACAGTCTAGTGGAAGTTATTTATTGGGTTATTTTATGTCAAACATTTGATTGGGAGATGAGTAAATTTCCCATCTGTGGAGCGTAGTGAAAAAATAACATATTTTTGATATAGTACGACAAAGGAAGGCAAGACTTGTTGGAGTTACTTATTGTCGGAAGTGATGACATATTTTTCAGTTTTAATAGCTTATCTATGGCAATGCCCTCTTATCCACACTCAATATTACAAATCCTGTACTATAAAAATTATGTATTATTTTTCCCTGGAAATCTTTTTGATATGACCCAAAATTCTTTGAAGTTTGTATGAGGTTCTGCATTATTAACATCATTGTGCATTCTTTATCATGTTCTGACATGGAGAGAGCTCACTGGAAAGTATGAGTAAAATGACTTCCACTAGACTGTTTCTCACAAATTGCCCCAAATACCAGGCTGCATACGTAGATGATATTACAGAATGGGAAAGTATGCAGCCTGATTATTTTATAGTACATAAACCTTTGAAATGACTTCGTGAGTTTATAATTTTGTAATCAAAGACGCAAGATAAATTAGGACCCTATAACTGTAAAAGTGGAAATCTTATGACATGGACAAGACCCAGGAATTTGGTATTGATTCTGTAATGTCATATGAATTCAGAAATGAAATTATTCTTCAGATATGTTGCAGAATTATTTCTTATTTTGCATTTGGCTTATAGGTTAAGTATGTGAAGGAAATATTCTTTTCTGGCAGTAATGATGTGGGGCTCATTGGGAAAAATGCTCGTCGTATGATGATGCACTTATCAATTCCTATTGATGAAGACTTGCAACAAACCCTATCATTTTTTGAAAAGGTCTGGTATGTCTCTTCCAAATCTTAGTAATGCTGTATGTCAAACTCCAAGTTACTTTTAATTCTTTGTTATTTAGAGATTCGTGGTTCGTGTGCATTTATGTGTCTGGATAGTTTATTCTTATTTCCAGTTGGTTTTTCTTTTTATGCTATAGATTGCAGCAAGGCGTGGAGGTCTGGACATGTTGGGTTTTGGAGACGCTACTTTTCGTTGTTTAATTGAATCCTTTCCCCGCCTTCTTTTGTTGTCCTTGGATCCTCATGTGACACCTATTGTGGAATATCTCGAAAATATTGGAGTCCCGAGAGAACGCATGACAAACATAGTTCTGTTATATCCACCCATTATTTTTTGCAACATTAAAGTCATTAAAACAAGAGTGCTTGCATTTAGAGAGGTACATTTAACTTCGGTTCTGCTTTCTCTTAATTTTAATTTATGTGCAAAATTATTATGTAACTTAGGTGACTTTAAATATATAGTTACCAAATAGTTTGTTATTTTCGAAGCTGTATGAATGATAAAATAAGTGATCTCTATCTCACTGTGCAATTATGTTCGTTCTAGCTTCCTCTTCCCCACCTTGGACATTTCCTTGTTCTTTGGACATGTCAACTTTTGGATTTATGAAATTCCATGATCAGTAGCATAACCAACCGAGATTACATTTATAACATATGCCTTTGGTTGTACATGTATTAAATAGAATTATGGTGTTGGTTTATACATTGTTCACTTGGTCTATGTTATTTGGACCAAGAATGGATTTCATAATGTTATAGAGACACCTTGTCTGCCATGGTTGAGCATTTCTTGATGTATTGTTGTGCAGGTTGGTGTGGAGGATAAAGATGTTGGTAGAATGTTGGTTAAATATCCATGGATTCTATCTACCAGTATTCAAGAGAACTTCAAGGAGATTCTTTCTTTTTTCGATTTGGAGAAGGTACGGAATCCACAGGTATTTTTATTTATGCTGGCCGATTTTTCCAACTGTAATGAATCATTATTTGGTTAAAATACTAAACGAGGAATTGTGCTTCATTACAGGTACCAAAAATGAGTGTTGGTCTTGCAATCAAAAGCTGGCCTCATGTTTTGGGTTGCTCAACCAGCTTGCTAAAATTGATGGTTGACCAGATTGGTGAATTGGGTATTAGAAACAAGAAGTTAGGTCAGGTTATCTCTAGAAGCCCTCAGCTATTGATACAGAAACCTGTAGAATTTCTTCAGGTAGGTAATTTTTGTTTTATTCATATCTTCGCATCTATATTACACAAACTTGTTTCCTTATATATTTGTTTGTTTGTATTCGTGACTTTTACCTCATGATTCAGATGTTGGCTGCAGAGCTTACTTCTGTGGCTATTTGGTAAATTTGCTGTTTTAGGTTGAATATGAAATATTGAAGCCATATACGGTTTTTTCTTTTCCTCCAGTTTCATGCTTTCAGGCTGATAATATCTAGCCTATACTGCTTGGTTCTTCATCAAATGACCAAGAAAAGAAAAGGATGTCATTGAAGAACTAGTCTATAAAACAGGAAGTAACAAATTCACGCAACAAAAATTTTTGAAAAGCAACATATGCATAGATATATCTATATATATATATATATTTATATATATATATATATATATTGTTCTTTAAACTGTTAGGTTGTTGCCTTGTGTGTGTGTTGAGTTTGCAAAATTTAGATAGATATATATATTGTTCTTTGAACTGTTAGGTGGTTGCCTTGTGTGTGTATTGAGTTTGCAAATTTTATGGTGGACTGCAGTACGGTGTCTACAATGTGCGACACCTGTGGCAGATGGCCAGTATGCAAAGAAAGATAAGCATATCTCCATGGCTCTGAGACTTTAATATCTCAGTTAGCAAGGTTCACACAAACAATTGCAAGCGTAATTTAATTTTGTCCTACCAATTCAAGTTGGTCCCACATTAGAGATCAACACAATGCAACTGGATATACTTTACCAGTCTCTGAAGAATTCGGGAACCATGTGAATGTGACACAGTTTCTTGAGTCCAGTTTTAACTTTTATTACTGCTTTATACAGGTGGTTTCATTTGTGGAAGGTCTAGGATTTGATAAAGAAACTGTCGGCATCATACTGGGTCGCTGTCCTGAAATATTTGCTGCCAGCATTGAGAGAACTCTCAGTAGGAAGCTTCAGTTTCTTGCTAGTATTGGTGTCTCCAAAGTTCATCTTCCACGGGTTATCAAAAAGTATCCAGAGCTTCTTGTTTCAGACACTGATAGAAATTTACTTCCTCGGTAATGCCTTTTTTGTTTAGTATATGCAGCTCAACAAACTTAGAATTCTCTAGTTTTTTTTATGAAATGTGACTTAGTCTAATGTGGGGAATTTGGTGAGCAGGATGAAGTATTTGATGAAGAAAGGGCTGTCACGGAGGGATATTGCATTCATGGTCCGCAGATTTTCACCGTTGCTCGGGTACAGCATTGAAGAGGTTTTGAGACCGAAGCTTGAATTCCTCGTAAACACCATGGAGAAGCCGGTAACGGATGTGGTGGAGTATCCCAGGTACTTCAGTTATTCATTGGAAAAGAAGATAAAACCGAGATATTGGGTGCTTAAGGCAAGGAATATGGAGTGTAGCTTAAAGGATATGTTGGGTAAAAATGATGAACAATTTGCTGAAGAGTTTATGGGTGTTGGAAGCATGCTTGTTCCACTTCCTCCTCCCCCTATACAATAATAAAGTGATAGGAGCTCCTAAATTTTTACTTTGTAAATAATAAACCACAGATTTGTTTAAAGTTTTGTAACATTTTTGTTGTAACAGTCAATGTATAGTAGTCCTATTTCATTAAAAAATTTAGTTCATGAAAACTTTAACATATCTATTTATATAAAGGGAGATGGCCTTAAAGGTGAAATAGTCCATAAATGAAGAACGCAATACTCCATTCTATGAAATACAAATAAATGAGTAATGCTCGCACAACGAACATCCATAAATCATAGCTTAATATTTTAGGGTGGAGAGGTCACCCTGTGAGTATAGCCGATCGGCTATACTATTTATAATTAAAAAAAATTTTAAAATGACCCCCGTAAAGCCGCTCGGCTATACTCTGTTAAAGAAAATATCCCGACGCCCGGCTATACTTTTTTTTTAACCACCGCGTATAGCCGGTCGGCTATACTATTTATAAAAAAAGACTCGCCCCTTTGCCGCGTGTCAAAACAATAGAGCCGCGCGGCGACACTATTTTGTAAATAAAAATCACAGTATAGCCGCGCGGCTGTACTATTTTTATTATAAAAATCCTAGTCTAGCCGGCCGGCTATACGATTTATTTATTTTTTTAAAAAAGAACAGCCTAGCGCCCACTCCCCACGTGTCAATAAAGGTATAGCCGCGCGGCGATACTATCTATTTTTTTAAAAGGAGCGCCTGAGCCTAGCGCTCATTTTGCCACTTGTCAAAACAGTATAGCCGATCGGCTATACTATTTTTTAATAATAAAAACCGTGGGATAGCCGGTCGGCTATACCCTATTTTATTAAAAAACACGCCGAGTATAGCCGCGCGGCTATACACTTGAGGATGGGAAGACTGCAACTGTGGGGCTGCTGTTTTCTACGGTGTGAGTAATATTTGTAGAAAATTAGTGAAATACCCATTTCTAGACATAAAACTATAAAAAAAACCCTATACTATTTAATGTATATAAACACACCCAAAATAAACCCAAAATCAACAGCTGTATATTTTTTAATTTAATTATTAAGATGAAATACTTTATTACCCTTTTAACATGAAATTGGATTTCCTAATAAACACCAGATCAGATTCACGACCTGCAATCTCTCATCTTCATCTTCAACCCCAATTTTCAGTTTTTGTTCTTCCACCTCAGTTTTGACGATGAAATCCTAAGCTCTGTTCTCAAGTAACTATCTCTCTTCAGCTTTTGTTCTTCCACCTCAGTTTTGACGATGAAATCCTAAGCTCTGTTATCAAGTAACTCTCTCTCTCTCTCTCTCCTCTCTCTCTCTCTCTCTCTAAAAGAATAAGAATGATGAAGTCAAGGATTCTGATTGTGTAAGGTAACTATTTCTTCTAATTCTAATTAATTCGTCTTTTATATGTTGGGATCTGTGAAAAATTGGAGGATTTGCAACATGAGCAAATGGACAATGACTTGGCGGATTTAGAGGATGAAATGGCTCATGGTGCATTGGTGACTTGGCTCAATATAAAATCCTATTCGATCTGTGATCTTCGATTTTGAGGTATTTGATTTTTTTTTAATTTGAATTCATATTCGATTTTATTGTAGTCTAATTTGGGTGATTTCATATTCGATTAATTAAGTTGCTGGTTAAGTTTTCATAATTTTTGCAGTTTTGGAGTTTAAATTTGAAATGTAGATCCAATTCTTCTTGATTTTATATGTTTACTTTTGTTGTTGTCAATTTGGAGATAAGCTATTGGATTTTCTGATTTCATTCTATTTGTATTTAGATATTCGTTTGAGTTTTAAATTGTGATTTTAATTTCTTTTTGTTTATAATTTGGATTGATTTCAGATTCGGTTTGGTTGTGTTTTGGTTTGAGCTGTGGTTACAAATCTGTGATATTTGATTCGGTTATCATATTAATTGAGGTATGTTTTTTCAATTGAATCTGAGTATATTCGTGTTTTTTCTGTTTATGCACTATTGGTTTTTGAGTCGACTATAATTTGCTGTTAGGTAGCAATGTTATTACCTTATATTGGAACTTTACAGACATGCATTAGAAAGTGTTATTACCTTATACTAGAACTTTACAATGGTATGCATGCATTAGAAATAGGATTTTATATGAAACTAGCAGTGTTATTACCCTATATTGGAACTTTACAATGGGTAAACATGCATTAGAAATAGGATTTCAGAGGAATCTAGCAATGTTATTACCATATACTGAAACTTTACAAGGGGTAAACATGCATTAGAAATAGAATTTCAGAGGAATCTAGCAGTGTTATTACCCTATACTGGAACTTTACAAGGGGGTAAACATGCATTAGAAATAGTATTTCAGAGGAATCTAGCAGTGTTATTACCCTATACTGGAACTTTACAAGGGGTAGACATGCATTAGAAATAGGATTTCAGAAGAATCTAGCAGTGTTATTACCCTATACTTGAACTTTACAATGGGTAGACATGCATTAGAAATAGGATTTCAGAGGAATTTAGCAGTGTTATTACCCTATACAGGAACTTTACAATAGGTAAACATGCATTAGAAATAGAATTTCAGAGGAATCTAGCAGTGTTATTACCCTATACTGAAACTTTACAAGGGATAGACATGCAATAGAAATAGAATTTTAGAGGAATCTAGCAGTGTTATTACCCTATACTAGAACTTTACAAGGGGTAAACATGTATTAGAAATAGAATTTTAGAGGAATCTAGCAGTGTTATTACCCTATACTAGAACTTTACAAGGGGTAAACATGTATTAGAAATAGTATTTCAGAGGAATCTAGCAGTGTTATTACCCTATACTGGAACTTTACAAGGGGTAGACATGCATTAGAAATTGGATTTCAAAAGAATTTAGTAGTGTTATTACCCTATACTGGAACTTTACAATGGTAGACATGCATTAGAAATAGGATTTCAGAAGAATCGAGCATTTTATGTTTAGCTCTTAAGCTTGTACATCATGTTGGTATTGTTTATTTTAAAGTCTAAATTTGGTTGGATAAATGTTACTGTTAGTTAGTAATGGGGTTGTGTATCAAAATTATGCAAGAGTACTATTAGAATGTTTATTATCTTCTACTTGTATATATGAAAATAGTGGCAGTGATCTTTGCAGTAACATTTAGTGTATTTTTGTGGTTGTTTTCCAGAACAATATCGCAGTTTTCTGTCCAGGCTTAACAGATGGCTCACTGGGAGACATGTTTTACTTTCATTCTTTCCGCAGTCTAGGTCTGATCGTTGATGTAGTGCAAGGTATGCTGCTCGTTACTTTTTCATTGCAGCTGATAATTAACTTGGGAAAATGTAATCACAAGATAGCATGCCTTTGAATAGATATTAGGGCCATGAACGGCGAAGCTGTCCATGCAAATCCAAGGAAGACTGGAATGATCATTCTCGGAGGGGGCCTGCCCAAACACCACATTTGCAATGCCAACATGATGTGTAATGGTGCGGATTATGCTGTCTTCATCAATACTGCACCAAAGTTTGATGGGAGTGATTCTGGAGCTCATCCGGATGAGGCTGTATCATGGGGGAAAATACGGGGTTCTGCTAAAACTGAGGTATTACCTAACCTATGTCATATCTTCACTATGCCCATTCCCTTTTAGCTCTCATTTTTGTTTGCATTATAATATATACTTCTATCCACCAATTGCTAACCCTTCCAGCGTTTTATCCATCTGTTTAATTTCCCTCCTTTTGATTGGTTGAACCAAGTACATTGCAATGCAACAATTGCTTTCCCTTTGCTGGTTGCTGAAACATTTGCCAAGAAAGCTGTCGAGACCATGACTTAATATATAGTTTCATTGTGAAGATTGATTTATGATATAGAGTTTCAAGTAGTCGTGATGAAGCTGATAACTGCTTGATGGGGCTCAGCATACATGATAATTACCACATTGTATTCAAGGGTTTGCAAGATCCTATGTAGGATTAAGAATACAGAAATTCACATTTTTCCCCTTGTGTTAGATTTTTGGTCTATCGTAGGGGTTGAGATGACATACTAGGGGAATTTACTTGTTATTTCTGATCATTTTATTCAAATTCAAGTTCGAACTCCTATATGAATGCTAAGTCGATTTACTTAAGAGGTATATATCCCTATTCTCTAGTTAGGCTAAAATTCTTGTCAAATTGTTATGTTCACCAAATTACGCCACTTTTAAGCCATTCCTGATACCTCCATGAAAATTAAAAAAATGTTTGGGCTTTTTTATAAAATTGGGCTGGGCTTGTTTTGGGTGTTTTTTGAGTTTTTTTTTGTTTTTTTTTCTGGTGGCCATCAGTGGCAGTCCTGTAATTTATAGGAACTTCAACACCAATTTCTTATATGGTAATGGATTTTGGGTGTGTTTCTAAAGTGCATTCCATGTGGGGTTTTTTTTATAATTTCAGCTCCTATTTTGGGTATATTAGTGAAGCTCCCTAATATTTGTGCCAAACAAACTTACCTCTCAGACATGTCAGAAGGGATCTCAAGAAGTCCACCACAGCTGTCTTTAAGGGTCGGTAGGAGAGTTTACAAAAGGAGTTTAAACATAGGGAAAAAAACTCATTGCAGTGAAACGATTTGAGAAGCTAGTCAAAGAAGATGGGAAGGAGTTTCGTGTGGAGATGCAAGCAATGGATTTTACTTCGAAACTTTTTAGGTTTATGTGAGCTTTAATTTTGAGGTTATTTGAGTCTTTTTAAGTGGGTTTTATGCTATATATATATATATATTTTTATTTATTTTTTTTTAAATTTATAATTTTATAGAAACTGATATTTATGAAAGTATGGGCCATATTTTGGCTATTTTTGATAAATACTTATGATCTAAGTACACTCTAATATTTAAATTAAAATTTTAAATTAACTAAATACACCTTATTTAACTACCAAAAATACCCCTGATAATTAAAAATTAAAAATCATGAATAGCACCGGTCAACAACTTAATAAGAATGTGTAACGTGTTCTAATTTTTTCAGAGATCTAATGAAAGATACTAAGTAGCATATCCTTCTTTTCCTAGGTCTGATTGCTAAGCTAATCATCTTATTCTTCAAGTTCTTCCTTTCTTTTGATATTCTGAACATGGAAAACCAAAGCATATAATGTCTTGCAGACCGCCCCCCTTTATCTTAAACTCTTTCTAAACAAAAAATAAATAAATAATAAATCAACTCTTACTACCACCAAACTCCTCTACAAATCTATTGGTGTTTGACATTGTTTTGCTGTGAAAATAATCGCTGTCAGATTTGCTGTGAGAGAAATCAGCTGTGAAATAAAGCAGTTTGACGTTTGGTAAAATTTTTGTTAAAAGTGTTGTTGGTATTGATTTTACGCATAATTAGAAAATGATTGCCGCATAATCATTAAACCCAGCGCATCTTCGAAACTGATTCCTGCATAATCAGAAAATGAAAGCACTTCATTAGCTGCTTTCCCCTATAGCTTTCTTTCACATCAATTTTTAACAATAAGTGATTTTCTCACAGTTTACCAAACGGGTTGGGCTTCTCAAATTTAAAAAAAATCATTTATCACCCCAAAATAAGCAATGCCAAACTAGCACTAAGATTCTCTCTCAGGGACAGTCCCAACCTTGGTTTCCTTGTTTAACACTTCTCTTTGCAAGCATTTCTCCCGATTCTGGTACCTAAAATCCAAAACATTCTTTCACCTTAGCTTTCCTTCATAAAGACGTCACCCTAGTCAGTTTCTCCCCTAATATTAAGGTTTGTGGAAGTAGTTTTTTCCGCTTACGTTTAATATTAAAATTACATTTTTTTCACAATTCAATATATTATTTTGGTCGTTTCTATATTAGGGTAAATTAGTAATCCAATGAATAGTTTGGTAGTAAGTGTTCTCAGTTAATTTGATGGTTCGTTTAACAGCACTCTTATTATTTCTATTGAAAGTGTAAGTGTGACATATCAATGAATAAATTATGACAATACAAAACAAGACTTAACCTTTTTTTTTTTTTTTTTTTTTTTTTTTTTTTTTTTTTTTTTTTAACTACTCAACTCAACTACTACTTTGTGATGAGGTTTCTAACCGATGAAGAGTTATAGAAGATGCAGGCGAAAAGAATGGCTCTATACACAACACAACGTCTAGATAATTTAAGCATTCTACAAGCATACAAATTCAATAGTTGAAGGCACTTTTCCTTTCAAGTGTTGCATGGCATGTTCTCTTGCTTTCACTTCCGCTTCGACTGCTTCAACCCCCTTGTCCATTTCATTAGGAAATCTCCTACTAGGATACAACCAACGCTGAACAGGATCAATAACTATTTTCTCCAGTGGCATTTGCCAACATTATTATCTTTTACTCCTCTTATTTCACGGGAATATTGAAAATGGGCCCAGCCAGCCCAGTCCCATTTTTAAATCTATTTTATTTTATTTCCCGACCGTTGAGGTGAAACGGTTTCTCATTCCCGTCCCTCCCTCCCTCGTCACAAAATAACAAAACCTCCACCCAATCTCACCATCTGCTGCTAAAAATCACAAAACGTCCAACAAGAGAGAAACTCCAAGACAGACAAGGCTCTCTTCTTCTCCATGTACCTGCCTTGCCTTCTCCGTTAATTTCTTTCTTTTGCTTTATTTTTTTCCTTCGCCTTTGTTGTTGTTGTTTTTGGTGAACTTTGTGGGTTTTTATTGTTGAATTTGTATTATTTTTGCTTTAATTAATAACTTTTGGATTCAATTTTGTGTACTGTTGTGCAGCTTGATGGTAGAAATAAACACGTTCTTTTGAATTTGAACTTTTATTGCTTGCAATGGGGGATGTCATCAGTAAAGCTGCAGATGGGGTCGGTGGTCTACTTGAGAAGGCGTTCTTGGCTCCATTTAAGACTATGTTTGGTGGCTCATGCGAGTAAGTTCTACTGAAATGAAAATGTTCTCTTTTATTGCCGGCCCAGCCATCGTCCTGTTCAATCATATCATATGTCGTAATTTCAGATGAAAATTACTATGATTTGTTGACTTCATTTCATCTCCAATAGTTTCTTGTGTTGCACTGACTTGGAGGCCTGCTATGAGTCCCTAATGTTCATACATGTTTTCCTTATTTTCATGACCGGCATTTCTTCGCAGTACACTTCTTGTTTACTTCTTCCTTTTTCCTGCCAAAGGGGTGCAGCTTATAGGGATAGGCACTTCATTTTCTTAGCTGCTAATCTTAGGAAATCTTATTTATTATCTTCTAGTGCTTGATTTTCTTTCCGTTTGGCAATAAACTAACAAAACCATGCTTTTAGATTCTCCTTCGTTCCCCTTAGTTCTTGTTTGTTTTCCTCAAAGATGTAACCTCCTAGGCATCGATGCCGATCGGAGGGGGAAATACTCCTTTGCAAGATAGGAATTAGCTGCATACTTTTCTGAGCTTGTGCATATTCATGTTCAACTATAGATGATGAGACTGTATGATGGATTTACCTTTGGATCATACTTCACTGCCCTGCTAATATTACTATGATATGTTTGATTCTGCAGGGATGTGTGTTCAGGACCCTGGGATTTCGGTTGCTTTATTGAGCATCTATGTGTCTCCAGTCTGTTGAAACTGTTAATGATCTTGGTCCTCTGCTACATAAGTAATTTCTTCTTCTTTAGTTGTACTCTTCTTATTTTTGTTAGAGTTTGCTTCGCAGACTAGCCTTGGAAGTTCTGGTTATGAGCTTCAGTTGCAGAAATGTTGATTTGTTTCTTATTCATATTTTTCACTTTCTTTCAGCTTTATTATTCTTCTATCTATTATTTAAACTGGGGTTATTCCAATGCATTGGAAAAAGCCTCTGTAAGATGTGTTGGGCTGCATGTGAGACATACTGGTATGCACTAGAAGATATTACTTGTTTCTTGTGTTACAAACTAAAGAACACTAAGAGGGTAAACCGCCGTCGTCACCGTCATCGCCGTCGCAGCCAATTTCGAGACATTGAGCAAGGATACAGTTCAAGCGAGGAAAATGATTTGTGGGATAACTATCATGAGTTAAATGTCAGCAGAAAGCGGAAGTCACTCAGCAGGAGAAGAAAGCATAAGCCGCAGAGCTCTGTTTACCCATCACGTAGGCACGGCACTCGTAGTCACTACCATGTAAGGTTAAAGTCTAGGGGAAGATCTGTGCGCATTGTGGGCAGATCTCAAAGGCCAAGAAGCTCGAGACATCTTCGATTAAGAAAAGTGAGAAATGTTCGAAGGCAAGCCAGAACATCAAAGAGGAGGAAACTTAGGTGATTGTCTGTGTTTCTGAAATTGGTTTTGAAATTATGACGGTTGTAATTAGTTGAATTTAAGATATGACTTATAATAAAAGAACATATGAAATTTCAATTGTTGCATATGAAATGTGATTGACCAACTTTTTGCCTGCACTTGAGGCAGAAGATGAGATATCAGTTTACACCACATTTTTTGAAAGGTTCTTTGTTTACTTTTATTTGTCTACAAAGACTATTGCAAATTCATACATACATTTATTGATGTAAAGCAAGCTAGCTCAACCCCACTAGTGCAACCTGAAAGCCATATGCATGACTACTTATTTACTTCGTTTGATCGGAAAGGAAGTTCTGGACATCGGGTTTCTTAGAACAAGTTTGATCAGACACTGCAGCCATATTCTCTGTGGTTACCCCAGCGTTGCCCATGTTGGCAATAGCTCGCGTGTATTTCATTCCATAATTTGATAAAGGTCCACAGTTGTTCTCATAAGTCCTCATCTGCATGGAAAAGAATTCAAAATCAATATCTGAGAGATGAGCTCAAACACTAGTGCATCTGCCATCATTTCATGTTTGAAGTTACAGGAGAAGGACTTACAAGCATCTTGAAGCAATCCCAATCATCTACTAGAGGTTGCCCCGAGGCCTAACATTAAGCAACACTTTTGAGTTCTTCTGATGTCCAAACAAAAGCTCCCCTATTTTATTTCTGTAGTCCACAAGTTTCCTGTGAGCAATTTCATCGAGCAGCTGCTTTTGGGCTTCCAGTTTGGTATGAGAGCCAGCAGGAGCATTGTGGAACTGAAGAATAAAGAGAAATAGTTGTTAGCTATAAGAAAAAGAAAATCTTCTTTTGCCTGGCCTGCTATGTTTCTAGAGTTCAGAACCCAGAATAAAATAATATTAGAAACCTTGTGATGAAGATGAAGGAGGTCTGCATCACGTTGGCTAACAACCTTTCAGATTGATAGTGAAGAGATATCTTCCATGGAAGTGTAGCTATCATTTGCAGGATCTGCACCCATGTAATTAAGTTAAGAGGAACTCCTTTCTGTGACTCATATCTCCATACTGCATAACATGAGAATCATTTGTTCTTCTTCGAACCTGTAATTTATCGAGATGGTCATATTATTCTAATTTTCCTTTACATTATACCGTCTGACATGCATATGTCAAATATTTTATCTATTATATTGAAAGTTCAATCATTGTTTAGAAGTTTGAAACATTGTCATTGTTTACCCTTCATATTGCTTCTCCAATGTTTCTTTACGCAAATCATTTTTGTCACTGCTCTCAAATGTGAAAGTACCAAAATCACCACAACAACAAAGTAACCATCCTCTTCTGCATTTGCTGATGTAGTAGCATAAATACTTACATTCTTTGGAAGGAGGCCTTCAAATATACTCCCAGACTCACAAGCTTCAAGGTAAAATACCTATTTTGTGTAACAAATTCATAAAACCTTAGTAAGTGCAGAAGTACACCCAAAAAAATAGTCGAAAACTTCAGTGAGGATGGATTATACATTAATTACTGATGAAGTGGAAATTCCTACCATGCTTTTGTAACATTTAGCAGCATGCTTCTTCTTGAGCACATCTATGAGGTCTATTGCGAAAACCGAAGGAGTACCAGTAGGCATCCCTGAATGTAAATATAACAACATCTGTAATATGCACTATATAATTTAATAGAAATGTGAGTCTAGACTATAATATAAGAAAAACTTCCACTTTCTTTTCCTGAATACTATGATCTGCATGCTTATTGCTTTGTTAAAATATTTCAATTGGAAAAAGAAAGAAACTCATGTTGCATACAATTTTCATTAATACAAAGTTAATAACCAAGTAATCCTGCAGCACCATGGTCAGTGTAACATATGAAAATATGGTCATTTGGACCGCTACGCAGAACCTTCCCACTACCTCCACTGAGGGTACTTTTGTTTCCAAGAATAACAGCATAAAGATTGTCTGCGTTAACATCATCCCCTGTATAATCCTGCATAAAAAATAAGTTACCTTACAGTTTAAAGGATGTTAAACTTATTAACAAACCAGCTAGAAACTGAAGTCCAATTGAGAAAAATAAAATAAACCTTGGGAACTCCTTTATAAACATCATGGCCTTTTGGTTTGTTGATGATGACACCTTGTCTAGGATTTTCCGTGTTGAACACAATATCATCATACATGAAAACAATGATGTACTCATCTTTCAGTCCACCTTTCTTCAGTATTTGGTATGCATGGCATACATTAGCCTGCATTTTTCAAAAATTATATAAACGAAGATAAGGTCACTTGATATTATATAATGAAATTTGGACGAACTTAAACCTGGTGCCTATAATTTCCGTAACCATTAGACCCGGCAACTAGAACAGCCTATTTTTTTCCATTATCCTGGGTGGTACTTGGAGAGCCATCATCACCATGAGTAATAGAGTCTATGTGTATTGCATGTACAGGGAGGCACAAGCTTCCAGCAGTCAAACTTAAACAAGCAAGAAATATCAATGCTCCACAACTTTGCCTAGCCATTCTGCAGTGCAGATTATACAAGGTGATCTGCAGAAACACAATTTAGGCTTAGTTAGAAGTTAACAAATAGTTAATGTACAAAGCAGCCTTGATGAATGATTAAGGAGATGAACTAGGAGATAATATTTACTGTGGAAGACCAAACCTCTTACCAAGTGATTTTCACAAAGTCTCTGCAAAGTTGCAAAGTACTCTATTTGTAGAGTTCTGTGGTTGAAATGAACGGCTCAGATTAAATCTTCTATATATGCTAAACAAGGAAGTGAGTAGATATACTACATAGTTAGCAGCCCATTTTAAAAAAATATAAAATAAATAAAAATGCATGAAAGTTAAAAGAACAAAAAAAAAAAAAAAAAAAAAAAAAAGAAAAAAAGAAAAATCCTTGGCTACAGTCCATCCTCCCTTTCTTAGTTTAGAAATTAAACAAATTAAGTTGGATGTTTTATTGTCTTAATTAGTAATATTGTGAGTCTGTGAGATGCTACTAATGTATTTTCTCCACATTTCAACTAATCCTGAGGTTACTTTATGCTTATTTGGATAATTTGTTCCATTTGTTTAATGAATTTATTATATTATATACATATATATTGTTATGTGTCTTCTTCGCACCGACGTTCAGTCACTCATTGAAATTAGTCACTAGGTGAGTAAAGTAATTGATGTGTAACAGCCAATTTATGATATGTGACGCGAACAAATATATGCATAAGGTCTACTTGGAGATGAAGTTCTGTGACTGAAGGGATAAGGTCTACTTGGTGAAGTTTTGTTAAGAAACATGTTATAAAGTTAATAGTATATACAAAATTACAGGATGAAATCAGGCAACAAAATTTGTGACAATGCAAAAGTTATTCTTAAGGGTCCATCAATTGAAATGTGAGATTTCAAATATAAATGTTTAGTTGATGTTGTATTGGTTAAATCCTTTGAACCTTCTATCTAGTCATTTGAAATACAGCAATTTGTTCAGAAGTTGAGTTACCTCTTCTAATAAGGAAAAAGTGGATACAAGATACATGTGTTTGTTTGATAAAAGTCTAATAATTTAATCTGGGTTGCAGAGTCTCCGTGTTTTCTTGATCGAATTCCTTAAGTACTTGTTTCTTTTGTTGCCAAACGTGTTTGCGAACGATAATGAAAACATCAGTAGGCTCTTAGCTTGAGAGCTTGTACTGGGTGCTGAACTGATAAAGATCTTGGTCAGCTACAGAGTGATGAACTTTTTCGCTATTTAGTCATCTTTCAATATAGAGGTTGGTTCATATGATTAGCCTTGAAAGAGCATTAATTAGCAACTAACGGCTAGCAAAGGTATTATCCGACACAGAAATGTAACATATGTTTAAATGCTAGATTTTACAGATCCACAGTCGACATCACATTTTCGAAACATTTTTTATTGATTTTCATTTCTTATTTTCATACAAAGACTGTTGCAACATCAACCCCATTAGAGCAACATAAATTCATATACATAACCTTTTATTTACTTCAGCTGATCAGAAAAGGAAGTTTTCAGCTGATCAGAAAAGGAAGTTCTAGACAAAGGGTTTTTTGGAACAAGCTTGATCAGAAGCTGCAACCATTTTCTCCATGGTTACCCCAGCATTGCATATGTTGGCTATAGCTCGCACATATTTCATTCCATATGTTGATAAATGTCCACAGTACTTCTTATAAATCCTCAGCTGCATGGATAGAACTCAAAATCAATATCTCAGAGATAAAATTTACTGGTTTACTTTAATTAAAGAATTAGATAGACAAGCACAAAAACTTGTGTGTCTGTATTAATTTGATGTATGGAATTACAGGAGGACTTACAAACTTCTTGAAGCAGTCCCAATCATCTACTACAGGTTGTCCCTGAGGCCTAACGTTCATCAACATGTTTGAGCTCTTCTGGTGTCCAAACAAAAGCTCCCCTATTTTATGGATGCTATAGTCCACATGTTTCCTATGAGCAATTTCATTAAGCAGCTGCTTTCGAGCTTCCAGTTTTGCATGAGAGCCGGCAGGAGCTCTGAGGAACTGAACAATAAACAGAAATGGTTTCTAGATATAAGAAGAAACACTTAGAATACAGAATTATAATAGCAAAATATATGAAAATTTGTGCAAGTTAAAGAACATTCAAGTTTATGACTCATAATAATTTAAGAGCTGAAACCTTGTGCTGAAAATAAAGGAGTTTTGTGTCACGTTGGTTAACAGCCCTTGCGGGTGAAGAGATATCGCCGATGGAAGTATAGCTATCTTTCACAAGATCTGCACCCATGTAAGTGAAGAGGAACTCCTTCCTGTGGCTCATATCTCCATACTGCATAACATGAGACTCATTTGTTCTTCTTCGAACCTGTAATTTAGTCAAGATGGCCATATTATTCTAATTTTCCTTGGCATTATACATATACTTCATGCTCTGCATCTAACAAGCATTTTCAAAATATTTCATCTATTGTAATGAAAGCTCCATAAATATCTAAAACTGGGAGAAGTTTTTAATATTTTACCCTTTCATATTGCTTCTCCAAAGTTTCTTTGCGCAAATCATTGCTGTCACTGCTCTCAAATGTCACAATACGTTCCAAATTCATTGAAACAACAAAGTAATTAGTGCGAGCCTTTGATTCAAAATATATTGGAAACTGATAAAGTAATGTACTCTGTATAAAAGCATCTTAATAAAGGACAGCATTGCATTACCAATCCTCCAACCAGGAAATACTATACAAGTCTCCCAAGCAGGTATCATACTCCTCAGGAACTTCAGGTTCACCTGGACAATATGTCCCATAACTACTCTCTTCTGCATTTGCTGCGGTTGTAGCATAAATATTCATTTTATTTGGAAGGAGGCCCTCAAATATGCTCCCCGACTCGCAAGCTTCGATGTAGAATACCTGATATATGTTTTTTAAATAATTGCATAAAAGCCTTAGAAAGTACTGATATTCAGCAAAGATTGATAGTTGTAAACTGTAGCAAGGCTACAACCTTATCAATTGCTGTTGAAATGGAATTTAATCTTACCATGCTTTTGAAACCGTTAGAAGCATGCTTCTTCTTTAGCACATGGACAAGATCTTTAGCATAAACAGCATCATACTCACTAGGCATCCCTGGATACAAAATACCACTCACACGTAACCACAATGTCTAATTTCACAGAAATGTTACCCTGTTCCCTATTCTTTCAATTAAGAATAACTTCTACAGAAAACAAGAGTTGGTTCTTCCTTGATTGGATCATGTGCATGTTTATTCCTTTGTTATTACAAATGTAACTCCAGAAACAAAAGAAAAAACTTTTATTAAATTTATGGGATTCTAATAAGATCATATTACATACAATTTAATTTCATTAACAAAATATTTTGAAAGTTAATTAAAATAAGCTACTAACCAAGTAATCCTGCAGAACCATGGTCTGCATAATAGATGAAAACATGGTCATTTGGACCACTTTTCAAAACCTTGCCGCTACCTCCAGTGAGGTTCTTTTTGTTTCCAAGGATAACAGCATAGAAATTTTCTGAGTTAACATCTGTCCCTGTATAATCCTGCACGAAAGACAAAAAAATTGCATTACAGTTAAAACAATGTTAATCTAACAAACTAGTTAGAAACTAAAATCAAATAGAAAAATTAAACCTTGGGAACTCCTTTGTAAACATCATGGCCCTTTGGCTTGTTGATGATGACACCTTGTCTAGGGTTTTCGGGGTCGTGTGCAATGTCATCATACATGAAAACAATGATGTTCTCATCTTTCAGTCCACCTTTCTTCAGTATCTGGTATGCATGGCATATATCAGCCTGCATGGAAAAACAATTAAATGAACTATTAGTAACATAACATAATCTTTGATACTAATACTATATGATGAAATTTGGACCAATTTAAACCTGATGCCTATAGTTGTAGTAACCATTTGACCCGGCAATTAGAACTGCCCATCTTTTTCCCTTATCCTTCTTAGTGGTACTTGGAGAGGCATTTTCACCATGAGCACTGAAATCTATTTCTTTTCCATTTTCAGGGAGGCACAAGTTAATTCCAATACTCAAACTTAGCAAAGCAAGGGATAGCAATACTCCACAACCTAGAATAGCCATTCTGCAGATTAAGATCACCTGTACAAACATAGAATAGCTAGTGTTAGTAATTAGAAGTCGACAAATTAATGCACGTACATATACGTATGTTACGTGGTAATGTAGATCAATTTTAATGTACTTTTGATGGTATAGGAGCACCATGCTTAAATTGAAGCGCTTCAAAACTCTCTCTAAAGCTCACTAGCTCAGCCTTGAAGAATATCGAGAAAGAGGAAATGAAACTAGAAGAAAGGCCAAAAATCTTACCAAGAGATTTTCAAACAATTCCTAAAAAAGATTTCACTCGAGCTCTCAGTGAGTACATGTTCTTCCAATGAACAAAGGACTCAATTTATAGATGCTTTATGGTTGAAATGAACGGTTGAGATTAAATCTCTCCCATACTTGCTGAAGAAGGAAGTGTCTAAATGTTTAGATGAACAATTGTTTCATCACCCACTCCAATTAATATTCTTCTTCATCAGCTTTGTGATTTTTGACGTGGCCCATAAACATACATAGTGGCTTAGTTCTTACAAATTCAAATGAACTAAGGCAACAATTTTTCATTTACCAACCTCCCACAAAAACTGATCATAGTGATTAAAAATAAATTAAAAACTGGACCAATGTCGAATTTTTGAAAATCTTGATACTATAAAAAGGTTAACGTGTTGAGAGCACTAGATATTTTGAGCTAATTACCTAAAAATTTAAGTATTTTAAACTGGTATAAGTATAGGTCATCTTAACAAGGATTGTCCAAAATAATCCTGGATCACTCAAAAGAGGGGATTACTTGTGCACAAATTGCTTTTTCTTTTTTTTCTCATTCGCTAGGGAAGGGAGGGGGAAGTATTATATGGGTGCAGTTGGGGAGGAAAGGGGGAGAGTTTGGCCCACTTTTCCAATGTGGTGTCACCCCATGTGCTTGTGCACAAATTGCTTGACATGTATTAATAGCTATGGGCGATGAATTAAATCACGCATATTTGGATCAAATTTTTTCCATTCAATTAATGCAGTGCTGATTATTTATTGGAATTAATGCGTCTTTAATTCAAACTAAACTATTGTGTGACACATTGAAATTACTATGTAAAGGATTTCAATTTCTTGTTCTTGAAGAATGATGGAAGTTAGCTCGTTGATATATTTGCCTGCGTAACACATTGGAATTAAATGCAAAATTAAAATTAAAAAAATTGGTATGGTGATATGTCTATTTCAATTTCTATTCTGGAAAAATAGTTTGAATAGCTAGGGGAAAAAGTTGTAGCTAGGGAAGCTTTTTAGCAAGGTTTCACATTTTAAGCATGTAGACCAAGATTAGATTAGAGGACGGTTTCATAGACAGCAATACACCCAACCTTCTGGCCACTATGATTTAATTAATTTGACTAATTAGTCGATCCTTCTTACTTTTATTTTTTTCATCAACTTGTAGCTATACTATTTATAGGACAACCTGCTGGGCGCCTAGTGCCGCTTCGCTACTTGTCAAAACAGGTATAGCCGCACGGCTATACTATTTTTAAATAAAAAAGTAGTATAGCCGATCGTCTATAATAAATAGCCGTGCGGCTATACTATTTATAATAAAAAAGACCACCTGCTGGCGCCTGGGCCCGCTTCCCACATGTCAAAAATAGTATAGCCGCGCGGCTATACGATTTTTTTTTTTTGGGCCCGCCTGGTGCCTGGCGTCTAGGGTCCGCTTCAATTCCTCCATACTCGCATAACTCTTCCTTGCCATCAACCCTCCGCCATTGTTGTTCTTCTTCTCCCTTGCGGTCCCCGACTTACTCCATCTCAAATTCGACAAAACCCCATTCGCTTTTTACCAACACTTCGCCGGCGAGGTCATCTCAAGCGTCGACGGAAGCCTTGACGATGGCTTGCGGTTCTCTTTTCTCAACACAGCGGAGAAATCAGGCACTGACTGAGCCTAGCCAGAGGACTCTTTACGTGATTTGGTCGTATCAATGGCGGATCCAGGATTCAAAAGTCAGGTAGGCGAAACTTACCTTAAAAACTCGACGGTACGAGTGCATTTTATTGATAAAAATAAAAAGATACACCTAGTCAGGGGGGACGTAATGAGCCTTACCCTCAAATATGCATATCTATACATAAATAAAAGCTTAACAAAAAAAACAAGATGTAAATGCAATGCAACACAAAAACTAAACTATTTTAATCTAAAATTGTACCCTACGAGGCTTAGAAATATTAAATTCTTAAATTATCTCTTCATTATCAATACTATTAGCAAACTCTCTTTCAATGTGGAGAATCATGCAATCAACAAGGAATTCATCAGCTATGGTGCTTCGAAGTCTATTCTTAATAATTCTCATACATGAAAAAGCTCGTTCCATTGTTGCTGTAGAAACAGGAAGAGTCAACACCAACTGAATCAAAATTAAAACTAAGATGCATACATTTATTTTAGGAATCCCCAATAGAAGAAGATAATTAAAGAGAAGAGATTAAGAAGAATACTTGTTTCCTTGTATATGAGAAGAGAAGAGAAGAGGTTGTCCAATGTCCACGATTGCACAGCACACCCAAGACTTGCGTTGAGAAGAAGCTCTCCCGACTCTATCTGGAATTGCACTGCACAGCCACTATTTGGCTGCTTGAGTTATATTCTTTCTTTTATTAAAGTTTGACTGGGCCATTCATAACATGGGCTGGCTGGTTATAATTTTTTTCAATTTTTTAAAGTTTGAGTGGGCTTGTGCTGTGGGTTTTATATGGATTGGGTAGGTAAGAGTGTATACCAACACATGAAATGGATATCAATTACATAGCTTATATATAGGTTTTTTTTTTAGTGAAATATTTTTGGGTAGGCGGTAGCCTACCCTGCCCTGGCTTAAGATCCGCCCCTGGTCGTATTGGTGTGAAATTTGACTTGTTTCTTCAACAAGCTGTGGTTTAAATTCAGGTTCTTAGCCTCTTCTGGCCTCAGATACTTCCTTCGCAGCTTTGATTCTCTGAGCTCCTCCTAGGCTTTGTATCTCGGTCCTCTCATAGTTATCTGTGATGAGCGGCAGAGGGAATCGACTGGCTCTTGATCTGGTTTTGGGTTCTGGGAGAGAATGAGGCTGGAAGAGATATTGAAAAGCAGGGTTTGGTTGATGATGGGTTTGTTGCAGAGAGCCGTTAGTGACTGCCATTGTTGATGAATTTGAGGTCACGCTGTGTGCAGAGATTTTTTGGGTTTTGGTTTATTGGGTTGGAAAATAGGACAAGGGTGGAAATAGCAGAATTTTTTGTTGTAATTAAAAAACGTAGTATAGCCGCGCGGCTATAATATATTTGTAATTAAAAAAAGACCACATTTCTTTCATATTCTTGGTCTTCTTCATCTTCCCCATCTGAAACTTCGACTCAATCTTTGGCGGGAGTCCTCTTTAATTTCGCCTTTCCTACAAAAACCCAGTTGAAAAAACGGTACCCACCTGCGCCAAACGGGTTCAAAAGACTTGGGCTTGATTTTCCCTGCAAAATGGCTGCAAAGCAGGGCATTTTGGATCCATTTACACCGTCGTAAGGCCGGAGCTCCGGTCCGCGGGGCTCTTAGTGGAAACCTGCCTTGCTTGGAGGACCGTGGGTTTCAATGGCGGTGTTTTTTTTTTCCTCACAAACATTGGGCTCGAACGTAACCGCCCTCTGCTTCTGCTCCCAACATTGGTCCTCAGAAACCCCATCAATGGCACGTGACGAAAATAGTCTAGCCTATCGGCTATACTATTTTTAATTAAAAAATCGTAGTATCGCCGCCGGCTATACTATTTTTTAAATAAAACCCCTCGTATAGCCGCGCGGCTATACTATTTATAAAATAAAAAAAGGAGGACCCGCCTGGCTCCTTGCGCCGCTTCGCCACGTGTAAAAATGGTATAGCCGCGCGGCGATACTTATTTTTTTAATAAAACCAAGTATAGCCGCGCGGCTATACTCTTTAAGTATACACGGCTATACTCCTATTAAATCCAAGAAATATCATCCAAACTCTTCCTATTTAACGGCCTCTTCAGTTAGGTGCTTTGCTGCTGCTCGAGGATCCTTTATGCCTCTAATCGAATCAACAACTTCTTGGTTAGACATCACATTCCACCACTACTACATTTTAGTCTTTGCGCGACGAAAGGGTTTTCGTCGCGCAAAAACGATTTTCGTCGCACATCATTATGCGCGACAGAATATTCGTCGCGCACAATCCGTCGCGCAAAGGTCGTGAAGAAAGGATTTGCGCGACGAACAAATGTCATTCGTCGCGCAGTTTGCGCTACGTATAACATCTTCGTTTCAAAAAACATTTCGGGACGAAGCAGAGGTCGTCGCACAAATATTTGCGCGACGAACCAGAGGTCGTCGCAAAAAAAACTGCGCGACGGAATTGTCCGTCGCGCGAACTGCATGAACCTTGCGCAACGACATCTTGTTCGTCGCGCATACACATCTTGCGCGACGAAATTACTCGTCGCGCAAGATTAAGATATATTTAAATGTTTTTGCGCGACGATTTACGTTTCGTCGCGCAAAAGCAATATATATTATTAAAAAAAATTTATTATTATTTGATTTTTAATTTGTAAAAAAATAAATGTTGTTTTTTTTTAATTAAAATGAAATTACAATTAAAAAAATTAATCGTAAAGAAAACATCTATTATATAAAATAAAATAAATGTATACAAATTGTAAAATAAATTATAAAAATAACAAACTAATCAAATAATGTTCCGAAATCTAATTGGTCATCTGCCACATGCGGCTCGGAGGTATGCGGCTCGGAGGTATGGGCGTCTGCAGGGGCCGTGGTGTGCTGGGGATGCTCGGGCTGGACGGGCTCGGAGGTCGACGCACCAAAATTCGGGATTGGAATCCCGGACCGCGCGAGCGACTGCAGAATCACCGACATCTGACCCTCAAGCTCGGCAACCCGCGATGTCAAAACAGTCACCTGACTGTTTGCCTGCGACGATGACCGCGGTCGAGGTTCCCTCTGTCGGGCATTCCCCATCCCCCTACAATACGTTCCCGGCCTCCTCCCGAGAGTCTGATCCAACGTCTGCGTCAAAATCTGAAATCCAGCATCATGCGGAGGATCCACAGACTCGATCGGAGTCTCGGGAGGAAGTTGGGAGGCGGACTCTTGAAGAACCAACTGGCTCCTCTCCACCATCGTCGTCTGTTTAACATTACATAAAATATAAATTAAAAAATGCATATAAATTGAAAGTGTAACATAAGAATTAAAAATACATAATACTTACATGAAGGGACTCGGCCAACTCATCCCCAGGTCGAACATAAACGTCACCAAAGACGTCGATCTCTGGGAATTTCGACCCCCCCTTAATTGAACAAGAGAAGAAAAATATTAGTATGAACAAAAGAAATTAATAATAATGACATATTAAAAATTAAATATAAATTATATTATTCTTACCCGACGCCGTGCATCCATCCTATATGAGAAGGGCCTGGAGCCGGAATGGTGAAGAAGAGTCTTCTTCTTCCTATTGCCCTTATTCACTTGGGCTTTATTCTGTTATACAAAAAATAAAACGTAAGAATTGAACTATAAATAAATTAAATAATAATGAGATATAAAAAATAAAATAAACATTAAACAAATATTATTAAAAAAATACCACATAATCGGGCGCCTGAAAATGAGCGCAGAGCCACGCCCAACTATCCTCCCGGCCCTCAAGCTCCTTCGGGCAACCCTCCTGAAGAGCGACTTCCGGATCATCAAAGGCCTGGAAATGGTGGTGCAAGTCGCTCTTCCACTGCTTGTACCTCTCACCGAAGAGTCTGTTGACGTACGCCAAAGTCTCCTCGTTGAGGTCCTCTAAGTCGTAGTTCGTCTGCAATAAATTGATTACATACATTAAGTAATAGAAATATATAAAGTTTGAAAGAAAAATAATTAAAAGATAGGAAAAATACCGACAACTGGCCGCGAACTTGCATCTTGATCTCGTCAGGTATGACCTTCCAAGACTTCCATTGCATCGGGCAATGGGTCCGAACGACGTGGCCAATGTCGTGGGCCAAGGAGCTATGCAAGTCCGCCGTCGGTGCAGCCCGATGGCGCTCGTCATATCCGATGCTGATACGACTGTTGGTCACCCGGGTGACCTTCGCCGTCTTCAGCTGCCGACACGGCCCTCGGGTGTTCCTCTTGGCTGCAAAGGGATAGGACAATATTGTTACATATACAATCAAATTGAACCATCAAATTCCCAAATAAAAAAATGTTAAACAAAAAATGAAAGGGGAAGGGTATTACCTGTAGGTGCCCCCGAGGCACCAGTACAGTCAGTGGATGTGGTGTCGGTGGTGGTAGCGGGCCGGTGTCGCCGCCTAGCGCTAAGAGGCTGCACCACCGAAGAAGATGATGATGCAGCCGCCTGGGATCCCCCAGGACCAGCTAGCACGTGGTCCTGCTCCATCAGTGCTGGAGCAGTGGCAGCTGATACCGGCTGAGCCGGGGCCTCCGAACTCGGTGTAGCCGTCACCGCCCTACGACGTCTAATCAAGTCTGACATCTGCACAATTTCATTAATCCAATGTAGCACATACAATGTCAGTAAAAAATTGAACTAACTAATTAAAATCATAGTTTGACCTAGGGTTTGCGATTTCGGAGTATCCGGGACTCCGATCCACAATCCGTCGATTCCTAAACGATCCTATAAATACATGGTACCACATACGTGAGTTTCAGCTCGATCCAACGGTCCGAACATATCAAACCCTAAAATCGCACAATAGGTTCAAACCGTTCGAGACTCAAACGATAACCAAATTCCAATCCGAGCACACCTACGCGCTCGTGACAACGAAATGTTTGCACTGGGACAAAAAGCCCTATGCCACAGTACCCCACGCGCCACCACACGCGCCGGCAGCGCGTGGGTGCCCTAAGAGATAACGATCCCCGGGAAATCCTACAAATTAAGGGGCAAGGTTCCTACCCTAGGTTTAAAACATCAATTGGAGCCACTTTTGTTCTCGGACCTACCCCGGAAAACGGACGGAAGTGGCCGGAATTTGAATTTCAAAACCGGCCGAAACCTAGGGTTTCAAATTGACTACCCTATGCACACAATCAATCAAATCCTACACAACCATCAGCTAGAGCATGAAAAATAGGCCAAAAAGCATACCTCAATTGCCGGATTTGGTGCCCGGAGGAGAGAGAACAACGGCGGCGGAGATTCGGGCTAAACCGAGCAATTCACGGCGGCAGGATGGACGGCCACGGCGGAGAAGCTCCTGGGTTGGACGGTGGCGGCGGCAGGGTCTGATTTGGGGCGGATTAGGGGCTGAGGTCACGGCGGAGAGATTTGGGAGGTTTTAGGGTTAGGTTTCAGAAATTGGGGAAGAAGGAGAAGATCGCGATTTTCAGAAAACTTATTCGACTTTGCGCGACGAACATACATTTCCGTCGCGCAAACGTCATTAAAATACCCTTGCGCGACGAAAAAATAAACTTTTCGTCGCGCAATGTTATAAAATTGGACCTTTGCGCGACTAGAACAACAAATTTCGTCGCGCAAACGTGTGAACAGATATACCTTGCGCGACGAAACAATGCTGTCGTCGCGCATACTTGTGCAGCCGCCCAAAATGTTGGGATTTGATTTTGCGCGGGAAAAAATCAATGCAATGCGATTGCGCGACGAAACCCAATTTCGTCGCGCATGCTAGCTGTTCCAAATAAAGGTTGCGCGACGCATGCTCCGTGATTCGTCGCGCAAACTGGCTTTTGATAAAAAAATTTCACTAAGTGCTGGAGCGGAGGAGAGGGAAATTTTTGTATTGATTTTGCGCGACGAATGGACTAATATTCGTCGCGCAAACTGGCTTTGGATAAAAAAATTTCACTAAGTGCTGGAGCGGAGAGGAGAGGGAAATTTTTGTATTGATTTTGCGCGACGAATGGACTAATATTCGTCGCGCAAACTGGCTTTGGATAAAAAATTTCACTAAGTGCTGGAGCGAGAGGAGAGGGAAATTTTTGTATTGATTTTGCGCGACGAATGGACTAATATTCGTCGCGCAAACTGGCTTTTGATAAAAAAATTTCACTAAGTGCTGGAGCGGAGAGGAGAGGGAAATTTTTTTGTTGATTTTGCGCGACGAATGGACTAATA